CTGATGAAGTGTGGGGTTCCCCAAGGATCAATATTGGGTCCAGCATTATTTTCTATTTACATGCTTCCTTTGGCTGTTATCTGTCAAAAACAAAATGTATGTCATCTTTATGCCGATGATGCACAGCTTTATCTGCCTATAAAAATGGGGGATAATTCGGCCTTGCAGTCTCTTTTTGCATGTTTTAAGGATATTAAGGAATGGATGGCAGCAAATGTTCTTCATTTGAATGAATCAAAGACTGAAGTGATGTTTGGCCCTCCCGAGTTTTTCTGAACCCATAATTAATCAATTAGGTTCATTTAAATCTAAGGTACATAATCATGCAAAGAGTCTTGGAGTCGTTTTTGACGCAGAGTTAAAGTTTGATAAGCACATTAACTCTGTGGTTAGAGGTGTTTTTTTACCAATTAAGGAATATAGCAAAATTAAAACCTTTTCTAACTTTTAATGATTTGGAAGTTATCCATGCTTTTATCATGTCCAGACTGGACTATTGTAATTCCTTGTACTATGGTGTTTCTCATGCATCAATTTCACGCCTGCAGCTGGTTCAAAATGCAGCTGCTATGCTTTTAACTGGCACTAGGAAAGTTGTAAGTATAACACCAGTATTAGCATCCCTTCATTGGCTTACAGTCAAATTTAGGATTCAGTAGAAGTTATTATTATTTGTTTTTAAAGGTTTAAATGGACTGGCACCCAGTTATATTAGTGAACTTCTTCAGCAGCATACATCATCCATGCCCTTACGATCTGCACAAAGACTCCAGCTAGTTGTTCCCAAGTCTCGATTAAAATCAAAAGGAGACGTTGCCTTTTCTGTTGCAGCTCCTCGTCTATGGAATAGTTTACCTCTCCATGTTAGATCTTGTGCCACTCTTGATGTTTTTAAATCTCATTTAAAGACTTATCTCTTTTCTCTTGCATTTGACAAATTTTTTCTATTTTTGTGATGTGTTACTGTGTTTTGTAATTTTACACTGTATGTGCTATGTCTGATTTGTAAAGCACTTTGGCCAACGTCTGTTGTTTTTAAACGTGCTATATAAATAAAACAGAATTTTAACAAAACTTGAGACTCATAGACAACAGGACATTCGGGGGATGAGTGCCAAATTTTTTCCAATTCTGCCCATAGGGGGCGCTAGAACAACAAACCTTCATAAGACCGCAGCAGTTTGATCACAGAAAATTTGAGACGTCGTCTTTAGGACAAGTGCAAACCAAGCCATGAAAAATCAATTGTAGCAATCAACAGAAATGGCCACCAGCAGCCAATCGAATTTCAGCAAATAATGATTTCACTAAACGATAAAGTAACTACAGGAGACTGTAAAAAAATTAGTGAGAACTTACCACAATGTAGGGCTGCAACAAACGATTATTTTGATAAACGATTAATCGCCGATTATTTCACTGACCAGTAGTCTTTGTACTATTATTCAGATTTGACAGTTAACATAAGTTACATTCGAACTAATAATTGACATTTTAAAAATCTGATGTGATTACCTTGTTTTATTTATATTACTATTGGACAATTACAATTATCAAACTTTGTTTTTTTTTTACAATACAAATAAATCTGGCACACAAAATGGGATTCTCATTCACCATTTAAATTAACTTAAAAAAAAAAAAAGTAACTGACTGACTGATGCATCATTCTGCCTGACATATTTTGTCATATGGATATTAAACTAAATAAAGATAAGACATTTTATTTTTGGATAAATTATTTTATTCACAACATTAGCTCTATTAAAACACATTATAGTGTTATAATAATCAAAACAGTCCGGAGCTAGATTAAGCTTTAATTTAAGCAAACCGAACAATCTCTTCAATGTAATATGTATTAAATAATATGCAATTCATTAGAATATGAATATGAAATCAAACGACTATTCGACTACAAAAATATTTGTTATTAATTATACAATAATTTGACAATTTTTGTTGTTGATAATGTCGGGTTATCGTTTCAGCCCCACCACAATGTGGTGCACATAAGGTTTTTTCTTTTTTTGCACTAATATCTCTGCAGCTGTGATTAATCAAAAAAAAATCTTTGCTCTGAATCCTTCAGTGCTCCCTGTTCTATTGTTCATATCATATACGTGTCCATTTCCATATCATTTGGTATATATGGTCTAATACATTTTGGGGTGTGGCCCATAAAAACAAATTGGACTCTTAATGAGGAGCAAATCTGAAATAATTGTTCTAATTTAAATCTAAACGTGGCCCCCTCAGTCTCTATAGTGGTTACTTCACTATAACTGCTTTACATTCAAGAAACAGTTTAATCTTTTCTCCTATTGCTTCCACAAGTGGCAAAGTGAAAAATCATTTATTGCTTTGGGTGAGTTTACAGTGACGTCGTTGGACTTGCAGACAGAAAAACAAATTATTTTGTTGATTTGTTTTTGTTACAAACTGGTTTGCTTTGTTACAAAACAAACCTTATAAACTTACATTTTTGAAAAACCTTGCTTCAACTTAAAAGACCTTGCTATGAAAGAAAGCTAGAGTGAGTTATAGTTAAATTTAACACTAAAATCACACCAACTTAAAACAATGAACACGAAATATGTGCCAATGAAAAACGAGACTGGACGTTTGGTTTGCTGTCAACTGATGTCTTTATTTCGCCAAATGCAGACATACAAATCATGTTCAATTCATGCATTTCAAACATATTGCAGAGGAGATTAAGCTCTGATTGAATCTCTCAGACTCCCAGGAGTTTCTTGGCCATATAGCCAGGCATACTGTAGAGGAACAGGGCCAGAATGGCAAGAAGCATCAGCGCCAACACAATTTTGATGACCAGCCACTTGTACTGTTTGCAGATGAGATGGTGGATTGCCTTTAGCGGGCTAAGGAACCACAGGAATGTAGTGTCGGGGCGGCTGGTGGGACAAAACAATTGAACAAGCTTTTAAAAATTGGGTTTTAAATCATTGTGAACATGCACAAATTTAAAATGTGTCTCATTGATGACATGCAATTTTGGCAGGTTCAAGTGCGTAATGGCGCACATCCGTGCTCATAGACTCGTGAAGTTTAGTCAACACTGCGTTGTTCTACTTAAGAGATTCAACACTAGAATTATAAGATAGCTGTTTATTTTCTGCTTCCAAATGGATGGTAAATGGGCCTGTTTATTGCGAAATATCGAAGGACGGTAATCCACAATTGGACTGGTTTTTAGAGAATAGGTGCACAAAATTTAGGATTTTCACGAACTGTTAATAAATAAAATGCATGCCGTTTTCTTTATTGATTTATTAGTAGCATCCAAAGCACACAATAACACATCGTTCAGTGAATAAATCTGAAAACCCCAGAAACTTTTGAATTGATATAAAAAAAAAAAACATTTTACACCAGCACTGGATATGCAGACAAACGTGACAGCTACGCTTTTAGATTTTGTTTGTTTTCTGAAACACAAAGAGCTAACGACTATGACTGGACACAAGGTTCTCAACCATTAAAATGTGAAAAGCCAAAACTAGCATTTTCCAAAAGAACTGCTACACTCTCCTGTCAGCGTTTGATGATCATCAATGAGGGCTTTGCCGTTTAATAGTATGTTTATGGTCATCCTTCAGTTAAAGCAGTAATGATTTTTAACACAGATGAAAAACAATAAGTATGCATATGACTTCTCCAACAAACAAATTATTCTCAATTTATTTAGACGATCAGATGATATTTGGCCATTTTGAGATCATGTGTTGGCCAAAATTTTTTGACCTACTTGTCAATGGTTCTGAAAATTGAGAAATGGTTGAAAAAAACCCATATAGGTTGACCACTAATCAAATCTACTGTACACTTTCACAAGCACATATTAGCTCTAACATTGTTTTTCGCCATTATACTGACTGCCTATAGAAGTCTTTTGCTAACCCACAAAACAAAAATGATTCAAATCTCAACATCTGAGAGATTCCTTGCCTGTTCTGATCACAGGACACTTTTAAAGTAACCAAACGCTCTTCCAACAGGTGTTTCCTAGACTCATTGGTATAAACTCACCTACTTACCAGTATTTAATACTCCGCTTTACAAACAGGATGAATTAAATGAAATTGGCAGCTACTTCTCAAGGTTTCTGGGTAGAATGTGAGGCAACAGTGTAAGCAGATTGATGTTCGGGGTTAAAAAATGGTCTTAAATACTGCATGTTTTAAGAGCTTTTGAGATAAATCATGTAATATGGGATCTGTAATCTGAAACATAAAAGAATGATGATTCTAATTTTGTTTTAAAAAGTACATGTTAATATAAGGTGGAGTATCATTCCTTTTCTGGGAGGTATTAAATTATGTCATGAGAGATTTCTTTTAAACCAGGATATGCAAACTAGCCATATCTGCTTATTTTTTGGAAAGCTGGAAGCAGGAAAACAAGAAGCTACCATATATTTTCTAACAAGCACTGTTTTTAAAGTATTTATTTAAAAAAAAATGGATGATAGAATGTTTTCTAAATAAATGTTAATTCGATTTTTTTAAGTGATTTATAGTGTTTAGTTCAACAAATGAAAGGTTTTTATACTTTAGTGAAAGTGAAAAATGGCTAGTGGCAAATGACTGAAGCACTGAAGGTAAGTGTTGCTCTTACTTTGGTTTCTCCAGAGGCTCTGGTTCATTGCGTCCTTCACCAACAGGACTCTTCTCGGCCTCCTCACCTGTCAGCATGTGAAGCTCTGCTTCTACTTTCCCCTTAAGAGATAAAAAAAAAAAAACGTTGAACTAAAAAAAATGCTACAAGTGCACATTGATTGCTTAGGATTAATATTTGTTGTTAAAAAAAAAAAATTTGTATGATTTTCTTTTTTTCACTGAACAAAGTTATTCTGAAATATGTTTAAAGCACAGTTAAAAGTGAAAGATGCTTTTTACTACCAAGTCCCAAAAACAACAAAAAGGCACCATAAAAGTATGATTACAGTAGTCCATATGACTTGCAGGAGGTCACAGGATTGTCATGTTTTAGTTGTTCAGCGTATCATGTATCATGTGAGAGAGTTTGAATATGCAGAAGTGTAAGATTTGAAATTTAAATGCTTGGAAGGGAGCATTTTCAGTGAATCATTTCATTTTGGTTAGGAAGAACAAGCGATATTGGTAACACTGGTAGTTGGTAACACGTTCGGTTAAGTTGATGTAGTTACACGTTAAATGTGATTACTATAGTAATCGAGTAAATGATGAGTATTTACAAATAACTAAACCAGACTAACCTTATTCTAATTACATGTAGTTACATAATTTTACTCTGCACTATTTACATTGTAGCAACATCACCTTAAAACAAAGTGTAACAGATTGCACATATAGCAATCGTAGTCATATTTAATGCTCTGCCAGCCGACAGCTGATCGGTACAGACGTGTTACACATCTGGCATTGAACTTGCACGCATTTAAATAGTCTTTGCGCTAGTGTTGCTGTGAGTGAGTTCACATCACTTTCTGTCAAACTCCCTCCTCCTCCCCAGCACCACCTGTCTAGATCTGCTTATGGGGGATTTATGTTTGTCTGTTTGTGCAGGCGCAGCTTAGATGCTCACGGCACATATTTGCATATATCTTATGCTGGGTTCCTTTCAAGCTACATGACTGTTTCATGAAGTTGCTGTGGTTTGAAGTTTGTTCCGTTGTGTAATGTGCACACTATGCGATCATCGCTTGCCTGAACGAACGCCGGTTTGCCTCAGATTTTGGGCTTTTGTCAGCAATCTCAAGAAAACTGTTTGCGGCTGAAAATCGGGCACAAAATCATGCAGTGCATACCCGGCAGCATGGTAAGCAGATTTAGCCGTTTAGTCGCACAGTTTCAGCACAGTGCCACCTAGTGGTCAGGAGATATGAAAAATATGCTTATAACTTCTGAATGGTTTGGCCAAAAATCACAAGACTGATCTCTTTCGATTCAGTGCAGCATATGGATTGCAACAATACCCAGTTTTTTTTAGGGTACTCAAAAGGTTTCAGGGCACCTTGTGGTCAAAAATTATAATAATATATTATAATATTATAAACTGTATCTGAGGCTATATCTCTGCAAAACTATGTGTGTGCCATTGTCACCTCACACTGAACACACCACATCACTTTGACAACAGCGCCACCTATTGTTGAACACTGCTTTGATCACTGAAAACTCCTCATTTTGCCTCTGTTGTGCTTTAGAATTTTTGAGATTTTGAATGAGTTTTTATTTGTCTATTTTATTTAATATAATTAGTTTTTGTTTTAAAAAAAATACGTCTATATATTTTTTATTTCAGTTTTAGTTACTGAAGTACATCAAGTCAAACTAAAAGAAAATGAGAAATTAGCGTATTTACGTGCAGGCCACTTACTGTAATTTCCAACTCGTCGTTTTCATCTCGTGCCACAAATGGCCACCAGCCTTTAATTCTCTTCTGTTTGAAGATGTTGACCATGGGCATGTCTTGCTCGTTAATCACCATGTCAATGGAGCACTGCTTCGCTGTCTTCGCACCACGAGGAAATCGATTCAGGTCTAGTTCAATTGCACCTGAAACAAAAACCAAACACACATGTGCCGGCATGAATGAAGGTCATTAAGGCTGAGCCTGAATGTACATTTAATCATACAAATCATAAAAATAATCATAAAAGTACAACAGCACACCCAGGAAGTCGTCTGCAGAGAAGTGATCCGCATCCCACACTTGCAAATTCAGTCGGGCAGGAATTTTATACTCAGTCTCATCCCAAGAAAACATGGACTCTTTCTTTGAGATGACGATTTTCTCTTCGGCCTGTAGGTAGTCGAAGGGGTAAATGAAGCGCCAGTTGAAATTGCCCTCTCCGGTCAGAGAGTGATAGTGGACGTCTGTGTCCTGCTTGTCTTCTTGTTGACCTTTCAGCCATCTGTTGGTCACAAGTTACGTGAAAAGCTATACCATGAAAGATATATGTATTTGAGTCTCTTCTGTTCACCTTCTGATTGTATACACTATCTTGTCACATTGGCCCTATTTTGCTATCTGATCATGGCCCTGTTTATTTAGTCATTGATATTAGTATACCGATTCAGACGTCAAACTATTGGAAATTCAATATTTTGTTCTTAAGCAATACAAATTTTTTGCTCTCTTTTTAGACAGAAATAATTCAGTATTGGCAAGACGATCAGAACTCGCCAGTTTCCACCGCAATAAACCTTATTGCTGATGCTTCTTTAATGAAGAAACTCAGAATCCAGAAAAGGAAAGAATTTGAAGCTGAAGTAAATTACCTGGAAAACCAACACAGAAGATTGCCAAATCAAGATAACTGGATTTTGTTACATGATGCTAGAGCCAAGCTTAACTTAGATTATGCAGAAAATAGCAATAAATTATTATTTTATAATAAACAACGTTATTATGAGTTCGGTAACAAACCCAGTCGTCTTTTGGCCTATCAGTTAAAAAAGGAGCAGAGTGAAAGAACTATAAAATCAATTAAGACATCTATAGGCAACATGACTTTTGACCCACAGGACATCAACTCTACTTTTTCCGATTTCTATAGGAATCTATATACAGTTGATTATCGCGGATCTAGTGAGGATTTGCTTAATTTTGAGACTAAATGAGATTTCTCTTCCCAGTATTTCTGATGATGCTAGGAGTTTTTTTTCATGAAATCCGGCAAGCCGTTCAATCAATGCCATTCGGTAAAAAAGTTTGCGTTAAGCAGCCCTGGCCTGAGCTTTGCCCTATTTTAATGCAAGTAAAAAATAATATTTTTGAGACAAATTTTATGCCTGAATCCTGGTCATTGGCAATTATCGGTCTGCTTCTGAAAAAAGACAAAGACCCAACAAATTGTTCCTCTTATCGCCCAATTAGCTTCCTTAATGTAGATTCTAAAATTATAGCCAAGTCCTTAGCTTGGAGGCTTGAAACTGTTTTGCCTTACATTGTCAACCCAGATCAGACTGGTTTTGTGAAAGAGTTTTGAATATTATAGATTATTTAAATGTTACCAAGGAATCTGCCTTTATTGTATCCCTAGACGCCGAAAAGGCGTTTGATAGAGTGGAATGGCCTTTTCTTTTGAAGTATTAGAGAAAATACAGTTGGGATCTAATTTTATAGGTCTGGTCAAACTTCTCCATTCTAATCCTATAGCCCAGGTCAACACTAATAGAATGTTGTCTAACAGATTATCGGTACGCAGAGGCTGTCCTCTTTCACCTTTGTTATTCTCTCTGGTTGTCAAACCACTGGCTGTTGCTGTGAGAACTAATGGTAGCATGCACGGTATTAAAATAGGTCTAGAGGAACATTGTATATCTCTGTATGCAGACGGTGTTCTATTGTATCTTAAATACCATGAGACTTCTACTGATGTAATTCTTGCAGTAATTGAAAAATATAGCAACTTTTCAGGATACAAGATTAATCTGGAGAAATCTCAAGCTTTGTATATGTATGCCCCCTCCGGAGCCATCTCAAAATCTGCCTTTCATCTAGCACTTTCTGGATTTCAATATTTGGGAATTAATATCACGAAGACCTCTTTAAAGCCAATAATCCCCATTTAATCACGAAAATGAATCAGAATTTATCAGATCGGTCGATTCTTCCAAATTCTTTTTTTTGGCAGGATCAATGTTATAAGAATGAATATCCTTCCGAGATTAAACTTCCTATTCCAAATTCTATCATGTTACTTAAATTCAAACTTTTTAAAGAGGATTAAGTCTTCAATTCCAAGGTATATTTGGAATCACAAAAAAAAAAAAAAAAAAAAACGGAAAGGGGTTATCATGTTACTTAAATTCAAACTTTTTAAAGAGGATTAAGTCTTCAATTCCAAGGTATATTTGGAAACAAAAAAAAAAAAAAAAAAAACAGACCAAAGGAATTGGGTGAGGGTTTCACTACCCGATTTTCAATTATATTTTTGGTCTGAACAAATTAAGCAGATGTTATGCTGGTTTATTTACAGATTTGATTCACGCTGGGTCGGGATTGAATCCACAAGATGTTTTTTTTTTTAGAGTTTTGATGCTTTTTCAAAAAGACACTTTTTAGAGTTACAGTTAAAAGAAGGTAATATACAACATGATCTTATCGAAATAGAAAAACAGCTTTTTTCTTCATTTACTCTTATGAAGAAGATCTCTGAATTATATACAATGCTGTCTAATGTTGGTCCTTCAACCTTTGACTCTTTAAGAGTGATATGGGAAAAGGACTTAGGATCTAGTTTTAGTTCCTCTCAGCTATGCTTTAAACGTAAGGCAGACATTGGCACGGTGATGCATGTATTTTGGGATTGTGATAAAATCAATATGTACTTGAAAGAGATTTACAAAATTATTCAAAAGATTATTGGAAAGACTTTTGTATTGTCACCAAAGGTATACATTCTGAATTGTAAAGCGGATCTGTGTCTTGACTGTGATAAAGAATTATCACACTATTATGGCCAGCTGCTCAGATAGCTTCAGTTAATATGTGACCCTGGAGCACAAAAGCAGTCTTAAGTCGCTGGGGGATATTTGTAGCAATAGCCAAAAATACATTGTATGGGTCAAAATTATTGATTGTTATTTTATGCCAAAAATCATTAGGATATTAAGTAAAGATCATGTTCCATGAAGATATTTTGTAAATTTCCTACCGTAAATATATTAAAACTTAATTTTTGATTAGTAATATGCATTGCTAAGAACTTCATTTGAACAACTTTAAAGATGATTTTCTCACTATTTTGATTTTTTTTGCACCCTCAGATTCCAGATTTTCAAATAGTTGTCTCGTCCAAATATTGTCCTATACTGACAAACCATACATCAATGGAAAGCTTATTTATTCAGCTTTCAGATGATATATAAATCTCAATTTCGAAAAATTGACCCTTTTGACTGTTTTTTTTGGTCCAGGGTCACATATATAGATCAGTCAGGCTGCCACTCTTTTATCAAGTAATGTAATGGGTTACATTAAAGATCTGAGGTGTTCTGACACATTTGGTTCTCTCTCTGGAACTTTCTTGAAGATGACTACTATGTCTTTCTAATTTTGGTTTATAATTTTCTTTTATTTCTGTCTTTGTACAGACATTCAGTGCATACACATGCTTAAGAACAAAGACTGTACATGCTGTTAGGAGATACCAGTACTACTGTTGTTTTATTGTAAGATCTAATTAAAACAAGAATAGGAAAATTCTGAATAATTTATTGCTATTGTGTGAACAGTAACTAGTCTGATCGTGCGTATTTTAAAATGTAATATAATCTAATTACAAGTACCTGTACTTAATTTTTGAAATCTGAATAGGTGATCCAGATTACATGTAAACAGCTACTACCCAGCTCTGAATATACTGTATATATACAAATGATTTGAATGAAAAAGATCCCATACCCTCTAACAAATATGTCACTGGATTTTTCCCCTGTGAAAATGTCATCGTCTTCCAGAACGACTTCGTCTGTGTTCCACACGATCACCCTGAGCTCAAATCTGTCAGTGACCAAAACAGATTTAGAAAATAAAATATTCATCTGTATTTTGCTAAAGAATTTCACCAAGTGCTTCCTACTTCTTTGGCTTCCTTGGTGAAATATCGAGAGCGGGTCCAGGCGCAGGCATGTCCTTCGGGAACATGTCCACCCACAACTCAATCCTTCCCTGCATCAGAAGCACTCACATTCATTAACGGCTCATTAACACCATTTCATTAGTTTCGGACATTATTCCTGACCTGCTCCATCCCAGGTTTATCCGGATTCAGGAGAGGCCTCGTCTCCACGTGCTCTGGGACGAGTTTGCAGCCGATCTGTGGAATATCTTCCCAGCGGTTTAGTACAGCAAGAGCCAGGTGCTCATCCGTCTGTTTCTTCAGTGCTGTCAGAAAAAAAGCATGTGCATTTGTTCCTATGTGCTAACTCAGCAACGAATGCATGAAGCATATTTGAAGCAATGAATGCAAACATTTTAAAATATTGCATTTCAAAATGCTTTGTGGAAACGTACATACCACTTTCATCCTCAATTTCAGTCGGTCCCGTGTAAACTCTGTTCGCCACTTTCACTCGTCCCCCTGGGCCGTACTATGATCTTTACTTAATATCCTAATGATTTTTGGCATAAAAGAAAAATCGATAATTTTGACCCATACAATGTATTGTTGGCTATTGCTACAAATATACCCCAGCGACTTAACACTGCTTTTGTGCTCCAGGGTCACATTTATAAAAAAAGTGATTTATAAGATTTATTACAGTGTTATTTTGTTATATAGTTATTAATATTCTGAATTACATAAAAATGAGAAATGTCATTGGATAAATTTTGTATCTTGAAATAAAATAAACGTTAACCTGAATAAAAGCAAATATCAATAAATTTCAGCTAGTTGCATAATTTTTCATTTTCCTTTTAATGTATCTTTATTTACTAAAATAATTAAAACAAAAACTGAAATAAAATTAATAAGAATTATAGAGACATACAGTAATAAAAAACACAATCACTGAACAGAAATAAAACCTAATTCAGAATACTAATAAAAAACTATAATAGTATATCACACACAACACAACCCCCCATGAGTACTGGCAAGCACAGACTTTCTAATGTGTTTGAAAGAAGTGAGTATTACACACATAGCGTAGCTGGCGCTGAGACCACAGGTTGGCCTGTGCTTGCTGTAGAAACGGTTCTCCAAGTCAATCTTGGTCTCCCCAATCAGGTCATCGGTTCCCACCAAATCCCAGTCGTAGATGGACACGGTGAGGGTGGAATCCATTGGGAGCGTCGCTTCAATATCAAAAGACCTGGGAGTTTGAAGTTTGCAGTTAATATGAATTGAGTGATGAAAGAGAACATCATAATCACTGTGTTAATGTACTGACTTTCCAAACAAAGGGTTGAGTTGTTTAGAGATGTAGTTCTCTTTGTCTTTGATCTCTGTCTTTCCGAGCTTGATGGCGATATATGGGTCGGCCTTCCCATTGATGTCTGCAGGATGCAGTTCTGTTGCCTGAGACAAAGCCATTCATTTGTTCAAATGGCCAAGCAGGAAAAAAAACTCAACGTACTTCTCTAAGGTGTTTAGTACCACATACCCTGACCACATAGACTCGGACGAGGATGTTAACGGGGTCGTTGTGTGGGATGTTCTGGAACATGCCCATGTTGGAATCAAAGCCCATTTCTCTGGACACCTCATCAAACACTGGGACTTTGTAGATGCACAGGGATCCCTACAGTACACACAGCAAACACAACTAACTGTTGAATGTGTTTACTATATTTGTGGGCTACTCCTGGAGTCACATTATTGGTACAAACCTTACAAAAATTTACTCCAACATTTTTATCCAACTGGAAAAGACACCTGTTTCATAGAATGATGTTTATATTGTTGTCGATATAAACATCCACAAAACTGAAATCATCTCGGGCCAGATTCACAAAGACCTTTTTAAGAAAGAAGTAAAAACTTTTTTTTAGCTGTTCGTGATTTTCAAACAAATTTTGACCCAGTAAATTCATTTAACATTTTACATTTGTGACCCTGGAGCACAAAAACAGTCATAAGGGTCAGAGATTTATACATCAATAAGCTTTCCATTGATGTATGGTTTGTTAGGAT